AAAATTGAATTAATTGATATGTAATTAAAATTAGTCTCATATTCAACCAATATTATTAAATATAAATATTTAATTCAATAAGTCATTTTACAAAAGTTCACTTCTTTGACTTTTTCTCATTTTTATACAAATTACATATTTAAAATGTCATAACTGAACCTCTGTACATCAGATTTACTCATAAAATAAACCGTTGGATTCGTCTCTTCGAGACCTATCCATAAAAGTCAATTTTAACAAAAATCATTGACTCCAAAAATTCCTTCATTTTTGGTCAAACATAGAAATAATGTTTTGTTGAGTCAAAATATGGTTTCTAAAAATACTTTTATAGTAGAATAACTTTTAGACCATGTTTTGGGGCGTTACAAGAATTGCACGCTCTTGTAGGTAGCTTGGGTCTTTTGCTATTTTATCAAAATCAGGATAGGTAGCCTGTACAATTGCGGCGAGAGGATCCCTTGTGCTTTGCAAGATCATATGAGATGGAATTTCTACATCACAACATCCATCATTTTCTTCTCCGGCGAGGCCATCCCCAATGCTTGCAATCCAATTAGCAAATTCCAGCATAGTCTCATAACTATTATCATGAGCCATGTGTTTTAGGCGCATATTCATAGTAAGACGTAACACAGTACAAAACTGCCAAATATATGAGGAATTGATAGCTGCATTAACGATGTCTTGTCTTGTCCCTTTAGGTATGACATGTAATATTTGTCGAAAGTCACCTCCAAAAACGATTGTTTTTCCACCAAATGGTAATTGAGCATTTCCAGGATCACGAAAAGACATAATATCTCGCAAAGTTCGATCAAGTGCCTCGAAACAGAATTTGTGAGTCATTGGAGCCTCGTCCCAAATAATTAATTTGGTTCGCAGTAGTAACCTTGCTTGTGGAGTCCCATGCTTAATGTTGCAAGTAGAATTTTCGTGTGGAGTTAATGGAATTCCAAATCGGGAATGTGCTGTTCGTCCTCCAGGAAGTAATAGTGAAGCGATTCCACTTGATGCAACATTTAACACAATTTCCCCTTTCGAACGTAATGCAGCAGATAACGTTTTCCAAACAAATGTCTTGCCCGTCCCACCATAGCCATAAACAAAGAAAACTCCCCCAACTCCATTTTGCACGGATGTCATGATAGTGTCATATGCCATTCGTTGCTCAATGTTTAAAGTCTCCATCATTTCTACGTGTTCTTTTGCCAATGTTGTCCGATCATACTGAAGCTCATCAAGAATTAACCTATTACAGGAAATCGAAGCCGCATCCATGTTTGGAAAAGGCATTTTTTCATAGTCACGAACACTCTTTCCACGTGCTCTAAGAAGCAGCTCTATCTCAATTAAAGCGTAATTTTTTACTTCATCTTCACTCAAAATAATTTTAATCAATGGGTTTATCAAATCATAATCATCATAATTATCATTCATCAAAATCATCAATCAACATAATATCTAATAACAAATAACGTCCTAGTTTCGAGTGTTAACACCCTAACCCACTGTCATGCATCATATAAGATTTTATTCATCAAAAACATCATTTTTTATTATAATAAATCATATTTATATTGATCATAATTGATTGGTATCAAAAATAGGGTATCATAGTTCAAAAATCATGTTTTCTAAACAATAATCGATTAATATATATTAAGAAAATCTATTAATAGCTACTAACTTCATTTTCTTCAGCAGAGTATCATATTAATCGATTTTTATTGCCAAATAATCGATTTTTGTATTAAATAATCAATTTTTATAGTAGTGTAACGCCCTACAAAACGGCCAATTAGCTAGCCAATATTTTGAATAAATAAATATTATTTATTTATTAAAACTCATTATTTTAAATAATAAATATCGAGATCGCGACCTCTTAAATGACTTCCAAAGTTAGTGCATTTCTAATTATAAAATTAATGTATTTTAATAACGGGCCTCTCAACATTAGTTAATTAAGCAAATTAATTAATGATTGGAATGGTTCCGGAAATTTGAAAATTAAGTTTTGAGAAAAATATTTTGAAGATATCATAAATTTAGTTTTGACTAATTATTTTCGAAAATGCAATCGGTTTTCAATTTGGACCCGTTGGGGGGGAACCGCTACCGTTCAGGTCAGATTTTACACAATGGAATGGAATTTAGGGAGATAACTCCCATTCAAACCACACGCCATTACACACTCTTCATATCTCATTTACTCCCAACATTCATTTCCCATTAATTCTCATTACTCCATCTCCATTATCTACAACCCACTCCCCTTCATTTCCTTCCACCACACTTGTAACCCCCATAGCACTCAACTCTCCCTCTCCCTCTTCTCTTGTTCGGCCAACCAAGGCAGCCAAGCGAGGAGACCATTCCGGCGTTGAGAGGAAGGAAGGAGAGAAGGAGGGTTACGCGAGAAGCTAATCGTTAGTCGTTCGTCCGTTCGTTACCATTGTCCGTTCATTCCGTTGTTTCCCGTCAATCCTTACGTTAGAGGTGAGTACGTTGCCCTCTAACTTTAGAATTCGTAGTTCAATCATATCGTTACATTCATAGGATTACCCGGCTAAACATACATGTGTTCATGTTATCATGACTCTTCGTTATTTGGACCTTTCGATTATGTACTCGTTGATATACACGTGTTTGAAACCCCGTAAATTCATAGATTACTTAACATGTAAACATAAATGTTCATTTCAAAAACTTCCAACGTACTGATCACAACCAAACAGGCAAAATGAGAACTTGCGTGCCTTGATAATCGATTGATAGGACATAATAATCGATTATCGGGTCACGCTGGACTTATCCTTTGAATAAGCGAGTGTGACAACCGATTATCACTTAGGTGATAATCGATTATCAGACCCTGTGGATTATTGAGTCATAGTTGGTTCCACAGATAATCGATTATCACATAGCAATAATAGATTATCAGGCCTCTCTGAACTTAAGGATTTCAAGGACAAACCAACTTGACAATCGATTGTCATGGGGTGACAATCGATTATCACAGTTTGCAGGACCTTGGGAACAGAAGCTGCACAACATGATAATTGATTATCAACAAAGGATAATCGATTATCAGTCAGTTCTGAACCTAAAGCCACCATATTGAACGAATCATTTTTCATACTGAATCAAACCTATATGTATGCGTTGAACTCAACTCTATTTTACAAGCAATGCATTCATTTCATCATGTACATTCTAGACGCATATTTTAGGATCATGGCATACTTGCATACCGCGGTAAGAGGTCAGGCCTAGTGCGCTTCTTCTGTGGGCCTGTCCAGGAGCCTTCGGGATCCAACGGGTTTCACATACCGCGACAAGAGGTCAGGCCTAGTGCGCCTCTTTCGCAGGCCCTTCCAGGAACCTTTGAGATCTAAGGGGTTTCATCAGGAGGGCTTGTGTACGTACATGGTAACTAGGCATTCAGTTACCACCCACATTCTAGGCTCCTTCTGGAGACTAAGGTGTTCCTTGGCTCATCTACCGCGTGGGGATGATCACTGAAGGGCAGGGGTGTCCCTGCGCAGTCTAACTCATGCATCATGGATTATTTGGCATTGCATCATTGTTTACTCGTAACATATTATTTCATCAAACTTGTATGTGTTTATATCAATGTGAATATACTATGTGTTCTACTGTTAGATTACCACTCAACTTTTGTTGAGCGTATCATGTTGTTTTTCATTGCTATACGCAGGTACGCAAGATAATCATGGAGCCTGACCCGGATAATTGGGAGATCGGGGTGGCGGACAGGCGATAGTGTGGACCCGATTTACTATCAAATTCATAATATAACCGTTTTGGGCTTGAACCCACCGTTGTTGCATCTTCTTATTTAAGTCTTAACATTTATTTCTTT